CCTGAAATTACCAAATTCATCCGGAATTAGTAAGGTAAAGTCGAAATTATGTGTTTGTACCTCGGATGGTGTAGTGGTGTGATCGGTCGATGGAATGGCATGTGCATCGGTCGATTGGTTGAGGGACGTGTCGATCGATTGATGCTGTTTCGTGTCGGTCGATACGTCGGCCTCAGGTTTGGTCGCATGCGTCAAAGGTGATGTATCAACTGCAAAACTTTCATGGTAATTGCTAGCCCAACTTCCAATTGAGTAGTCTTCGTCTTGTGGATCATGTGGGACGTATAGGTTGTCGCTCGGTGGTGTAAAACGTCTTTTGAGCGATCTTGGATGGTGCATATCGGTCGATGGAGGGTGGTCTATGTCGATCGATGCTCTGAAGATGAAGGACGGTAGAGGAGGTCTTTCTTCATCCTCCCGAAGAAATTTGTACTCTGTGGCTCGTTGCTCTTCATAATCTTCATCATACTCCTCCTGAGTAGTGATGCTAGCCAGTTCTGGGATGTAATGATCGTTCTCCTAATCATCTACGTTGAAATCACCTTCTGGAAACTCCTATTTGATCTCTTGGAATAGCCTGTCGATCGATGACCAGGTATGCTCATCGGTCGACACTGGTTGATTGGTATCGGTCGATGGTAGAAGACTTCCATCGGTCGATACGCCTGGTTTTATCTTGTACTCGGCCATGGAATCATACTCATGGCCACAGAAACAAGTTGCTACGAGTGCTGGGCTCTCTGTCCTTGGAATCTTGATGACTTGGACTGGATTGTAGTGGATGGTAGGGTCAATGAGGGTTAGGCAGAGCTTATTGGATTTCAGGTCACAAACAGCTCCAACTGTTGCTAAGAAAGCCCTTCCAAGCAGTAGATATGTCTTGAAGTTAAGCTTGTTCTCTAGGACATGGAAGTCTGTAGGAATTAGGGCATCTCCGATCTGTACCTTAAGATTTCAAACTTTGCCTCCAGAGTTCTGCTGAGAACAATCCACGAAGATGAAAGATTCTTCAGTAGGCTCTATCTTCAGGCCTAGATGGTCTGCCATGATCTTGGGTAGGATGCTAACTCCAGATCCTGTGTCGCAGAGAGCACGAGGGAACTCAACACCTCTTATTGAGCATGGTATTGTAAACTTCCCTGGATCACTCTTCTTCTCCAGTGTGATCTTCTTCTTTAGACTGTCTCTGACTTGGTGAAACATTCTCTTGATGTCTTCTTCTTTCTCCTTGGTTTCTCTGAAAAACATCCACAATCTGTGTGAAAGGTAGGCTTCTTCAAAGGGTTTCTCTCTAGGTATTCTCAGAACTCTCTTTCTAAAGCTTGACAATTCTTTCTCATTAGCTTCCCTTTATAATGCTTGGAGATCTTCTCTTTCTTTTTTCTGAGAACTCTTCCAGGATTTTCCTTTTCTATCTCCATGGGCTCATAGATATCCGTGGGTCTCTTCATGATGGCTGTTGGGGGGCTTCTGGAAGTGTAATAATGTTCCCTGAGTGCATAGATACGTGCACTATCCATCTTTGGGAGTTGCACTCGGCGTTGAGGTACTATGTCGGTCTATATCTCTAGCTTTGTGTCGATCGATGGATAAATCATCATGTCGATCGATGTCATGTGAATCGACTTCGATTGGGACGGGCGGATGTGGGTGTCGTGCTGCGAAGGCTTCGTGTGACATAATCTTGACAGCACTGCACTTGTGAGAGGTTTCTGTCATGTGAAGTTTCTGTATCCTCCTTGGTTTCCAGACCTCTGAATTCCTGCTCCACTGATCCAGTTCACATCTTCTTCGGTGTATTCCTCTTCAGCTACAGTTTCTGCATCCTCCACTGAGCAAATCTGCTTGTTTAGTAACTTCTGAACATGATCCAGCTGTGCTTGCACTTCATTAATATGTTCCTTCCCAAGGAATGATGTAGCTTTTGTCTTCACGGTGTTCTTTGTGCTGTTGCTTGAAGCTAGGTTATCAATCAACTTCACAGCTTCTTGCGGATTCCTGGTGGTGAAATTGCCTTCACTAGCTGTGTCTAGAGCCATTTGATACTTCAAAGTGATGCCTCTGTAGAAAGTTCAGAGCAGTTGCACATTGTTGAATCCGTGGTGTGGACAATCTCGCTGGTAGGATTTGAATCTGTTCCATGTGTCTTTAAATGATTCTCCAGGATCCTGAGTGAATGTAGCAATTTTCCTCCTCCATTCTTCAGCGCGTGAGTCATCAAAGAAGTTACGTAGGAATGCGTTTTTGATGTCGCTCCAGGTTGTGAGAGAACCTGGTGGTAGTTGTCTTAGCCACTGCAGAGCTTCTCCAGATAGAGAGTATATGAAAAGCTTGCAGAGAAGGTAGTCTTGAGGGACTCCATTGGCTTTGATGACACTTATGAGATCCTCGAACATCTCCAGATGGTCCATGGGATGCTCATGGGACAACCCACAGAAGGGTATTTTTCCTACAAGTGTGTAGTATTGCGGCTTGAGCTCGAAATCTCCTCTCTGGATAGCAGGAGGGAGGATGGCTGATCGGTTGGTATAGAACTGATCCGGACGGTTGTTGTCAGCCAAAGTTCTAGCTCTGTTAGCCTCTCCTACAGGTTGAATGAGGTCCTTAGGTGCAGTTTCTTGCTCAGGAATGATCTCTTTCTGAGCATTCAGCTTCTCACCTGCTGCATTACGCAGGTGACCATCTTGATCACGCAGGTCTCCATTCTCATCAGTAGTGAGAATAATAGTCGCTACCATGTCTCGCCGGTGGGTATCGATCGATTTAAAGTGAGGTATATCGATCGATGTCGGGTGAAAGATTTCGGTCGACGAATGGTTGTTGATGTCGATCGATGGAAAGCTGCGAGTATCGGTCAACGAAGAAGGTGTCTCGGTCGACTGTGGTAAGCGAACAGTCGACGAACGGTTGTTGATGTCGATCGATGCGGAACGTAAGTCTTTGCGGATGGTACGTTCCAAACTGTGAGGGTCTTCTGAATACACAAGTTGGTTGTTCTTGTTGCTTCTAGTACTGCTGGGCATGTACCTGAAAGAGACAAGAAAAAAATTTGTCAGAAGATGATTAAGCAGTAACAAGTAACCTAGACCTAATCAGATTAAATCTAATGGCGATCTTAGTTCCCCGGCAACGGCGCCAAATTTGATATCACTCAAATTACCCTAAGGAGTGAATTACTTTCTCAAATAAGAGGTTCAGTTGTAGTACTTAGGGATCGAATCCACAAGGAACTAAGGAACACAAAAGATATAATCCTAAGTGATTATGCTAGGTTGATTAAAGTTTTAAAAGTAAATTGCAGTTCTGAGCAATTGGGAGTTGCTCAAGAGAATTGGTTTTGGGTTTTAAACATTAAAAGAAAGTAGTTAGATTCAAGGTTGCTATTCAGATAATCATGATTATAATGCTACAGATGTCTTTCTAAGTTGCTTGCAAGATATTAAAGAACTTCAATTCTTAGATAAGTCTATTAGCAATCACTATTAAACTCGTCCATTGATCTGATTGTCGGCAATATCGACCGATGGCTTGACAGTGATATCGGATGATATGGGTTGCCGTCGATCGATTACTCTATAGAAGTATAGATCGATATAGCTTCAGATCGAATTGAATATGTGTTCACCAAGATCATAGTCTGGCTCTCGTTCGTCCCTAGAGGATCTCAGCTTATACCAGATGATTTCAGGATGATGATTAACAAGTTAAATCATTCCATGATCATACTCTAGTTAGCTACTCTAGAGTAAGCATTAGGGTTCATCAGGATAATGAATATCACAACTCAACATTCCATAGTTGGGGCTAATCCCTCATAACTATTTTGAACCCAAAATCTAACACGTGAATCTACTCAGACATGGCTAAGTGATTCATAGCATCAAGGTAATAATAGAAATTCATAAGATTAGAAGATTGAACTCTTGGTTCTTCTGAACAACAAATCTCTTTGTGTGTTCGTCTAAATCTAGAATTCTATAACCTTTTATGAAAATGAGAATAACATGACAATAATACTTTTATAAATCAAAGAACTAAGAACATAAAAAGTATTCAAAAGCAGAACATGTAGAAAGCATGCAAAGCTCAAGAAGTACAAAAAAGCATTCATAGCCAAAACACATAGGCATAACTATAAATATGAGTTCCATTAGGTTAAAAACTCGCACTACAAGAAATAAGGGTTTTAATAGCACCCGTAAAGCGCTATCATACGATACCATAGCGTTGTAGAAAGCGCTCCAACATCGCCCGCGATAATAGGTCTCGTACATTGCATAGCGCTTTTCCAGTTTGCTATTGATATTTAATTATTAATAGCGCTTCACGTTATGCAATTGTAATATTTTATTATAACGTCTCGAAAATGATATTATAAACATATTAATTAGATTTTTCCAATAGCAAAAATAGCAAAATATTTCGTGCTATTATTTTTTAATAAAATTATTCGAAACTTTATTAATATTAATTACGAATTGATTTTATTTTTTTAAATATAATACTTAATTCGAAAAATAAAACAATTAAATTTATTGAAAAATTCCATAAGATAAACATCTTGTTCTTACAAACCACAACAAAAACATAAAAACTATAAATCTACCACTAATAAACCTTCACAGTTATCCCTAACATAAACACTATCATCATCAGAAGCTTCATCGCCCAATATCTTCATTACGATTAAGTGGTTCTTGAACTGGTACTTGTCATTGACTCTCAATATTTCTGCAAGAGAGTGGATCTTGGTTGGTTTCCTGAGACAGTGGAGAGTCCTTTGATTATTTCTTCTGCAAAATAGAAAAGGCACTACGTTATTAAAACATGTATGTAAGTAATAATAAGCACCACATATGGGTAGACCTACATAAGAATTGTTTGTACGTAACTTACTGAGCAAAGCTCTGACTATATCCATCCCTTCCCTTCAGTCGGATCCCAAACCAAAAACACTCTCAGATATCAAAAGTAAGTAGAGTTCAAAAAAGCTAGGACTATTATGACACAGCGCCTTGCCCACCTACACCAAGATAACACATATTAGTTAACAGTAACTCCAACAATGACACATCTCAAAATAACATATCCCAAGTAGCAAGACCAAATGTGCTTACATTAAACACGTATTACACTAACAACAAATTATGTTGGAGAACAGCGAAGAGAACTCAACATGATCAAGCCATGGAGATGGGTTATTAAGAAGGCATGATTAGCTGCTGCTACTACTATCTTAGAGGAAAATAAAAAACAAAAAATGCTTGGACACTAACAATAAACCCCAAACAAGTCTGAGTATTGAATTAAGGGCCTACTCCCTAGTAAACCAATAACAAAAACGAGCAAAAAGTTTAAACACATGTCTGATTTGCGGTTAGAGCTCCTTATTGTTAGAATAAGAAAAATAAAAATGGGCAACAAAAGAAGCGGAGAGAGTTGTACTTTTCCATGTATGATTTCGAAAATGGGGACTTGAATGTTGCATTTCTCAGACAACTTCACCATGCTATTCAGCTCCGTCACTAGAGAGTTTCTGCAAAAACACACACACACACAAGACATTCTCATTCAGATACATAAAACTATAATCTTTAAAGAAACAGAGAAGTGATAGTACAGACGCTGGAGGAGATGAAGCTGAGAAGCGGGAGTGAAAGAAGAGACAGTAAGGTGAAGCTGATGAAGGAGTCCCAAAGTTTTCTGAATCGAGTTTATGACTTGGTTCAGATTCTCCTTTGAATCTTCAGACGCAGTTGCTGTTCCATCGTTGGTTTGATATCCCATCGTCGTTGTTGTGCCATTGCTTCCACCAATCCCTGCTGTGTTGCTGGTAAACACATGTAGATAATTATTTATAAAACCAATCCATCTTCTGTCTGATTTCGATGTACTGCTGGTAAACACATGTCTGATTTCGATGTGTGTATAACTAGTAAACCAATATTACTCTATCACTAGCCAACCCTAACATTATGTTCTCAAATCAAACACATGTCTGTACCCAGAAGAATAAAGCTTGAGACTTTGGATCCCTCGTTTACACTATTTCTTCGTAAACAATATGAGGATCTGTATAAAGACAGAACCAAACATAGAGATGGGAGAGAGACTAACCACAACACAAACACACACAAAATGGATCATTGTTGTTTCCTATGAGACAGCCTCTGAATGTGATGGTGGTGGTAACGAGCGATGGTGGTTGTGAGGACCGTGACGGTTGC